TGTATTTCATCGCCACAAACAGATGTATGCCAATATGCATCTGCACCGATAGATAAAAATATGGCACTTCTCACTACTTTGATGTCATCTCATAATATCATTCATAGATTCACATCATACAACAGTGAAAGTGTATCGAGACTAATAGGAAAAGACATGATTCGAGTTCTCGCAGAACATCATCCAGAAAACATTTTTAGGCATACCAAATCAATCGTCCATTTTGTTAATAATAAATTTTTCTATAACACTGTCGTCGATACATTCACCACAACAACTCCAGCCAACATTATTGAAAACAACCCTACGATTTCTCGTGTGCGCTCAGATTCAACTGAAAAATTTCTTAAACAGATAAGTACCAATATCAATAAAGTTAGCTTAGAATTTTTATCTAATAATGATTTGAAAATATTTTTAACAGGAGCATTTTCTACTATTGATAGCTACTACACTATTTCTAATGTTCAAGAATCACTAGATACTTTCTCTCAGTATGTTGTAGGACAATCCATTTTTGCACTCCGCTACTGCTCGTTGGCTCAACAAAATTCGTTACCGCCGCAACCGTGCATAGTTATCTCCACCTTATTCTTGCGTATTCAACCCGATGCTCCATCAACATTTTCAATTTATCGTTTAATTCCATTGCCGGTCATTCACAACAACGAGATGTATGTATATACAAATCTGCCACAGGTAATTGGCATCGATCCCGTCGATCGAAAAGTTATTATTTGGAAAGAAGACATTGATATTAAGCAATGCACATTTTCACGTATTGTTTTATGTGAAAAATCACCGATTTCAATATCAATAGCAAAATCTTCATGTCTTTCACAACTATTGGACAATGCTCAATCAACTACTGATATGTGTCACGTTACGCGATCAACAAATGTCCAACAGGATGTTATGCAAATTGACAACGAACTTTGGCTTTTCTTCAATATTCGTGGTTCTGAACAATGTCATATTTATTCCAATTCCAATGATGGCACAGAATCAATTTCAATCAATGAGCCTGCTCTTGTAGGTATACCTTGTAACAGATCGGTTCAATGCATCGATACTCAAATGCCTATTACATCTTGTACACCGCGTCGAACACTCGTCGCAACCCGTTCTCCAACATATTCTCAAACACAAGCACGTATCTTCCTTCCAATTAAAAATATGACAAAAATACTTGTCTCGTCTTATCAATCACAATTTGAAAAAACAATAAATGAATTAATGACGGCTTTATCTTCAAAGCCCATAAGTTTTAAACAGATTTTCGAAATCGTTTTACTTTATACGATATCCGTTGTCACTATTATTCTGGTTCTCCTCTTTCTTTATAGCCTCAAATTCATCAAATTCATCATACACAAATTACAAAAAAAAACAGACCGTATTGAATCAAATCTAGAAAACATTCTTTCATTATAATCTTTCATCCCAATTGTTTTATAATTCTGTACTTAAATTGCAATAAAATTTTCTTTCCACCTACATGATAAACCATATTCATCACACACACTTGTTTCTTTATTAAATAAAAACTATCACGTCAGCTCACCCTCATTAAAAAGAACAAAACATTCAGCAATACCACTATACTTCTTTTACATAATATCCCTCTCATCATTCTTTGTAAAAAGATCTAG